GAGTGGCTCTGCTAGTGTAAATAGAATATCAAAGTCCCTAAATTTTAATATCTTTAAATTCCAAAAGCAAAGTACTCCCATGAAGAATTAAGGCCATTCATTGAGGGTGGAGACCCAGGAATAAATTACTGTTTGGGACACTACCACCCAAGTTCCAATTGAGAACAGTTTTACACAGATGAAACCAGATTAAAATAAATCTCAAGCATAACTTTGAAGAGAAAAGGACGTAAAATTTTAAACATTCAAATGGTGGAAAAATTGCAAGTAGAAGGATGAAAGGGGTTTTGCTTGGATGGTGGTGAGGGATTTAGGCTTTTTTTTTTTTTTTCTTTTAATCCTCTGCCTCATTCTACCAAAGATTGGAGACAGCTTAAAGAAATGGAATAGGAAACTATTCTTAAAACTTGAGGGAACCTAAATAAAATTTTTAGATGAGAAAATACTAACTCCAAGAGTGATATTAGCAGAGAGGAATGTACACCATATGTTAATATAGAGTTGCTCCCAAGCTTCCTCGGAGCCAAAATAAAGAGGGAAACAGAGTCATTTATAAGATTCAGCATGTCAACAAGACAAAAACAAACCAAATGTTCAGGAGAATCACATTTCCTGAAACTGAGACCTGGAAGCATTTTTCCTGTGGCATCTCCTGAAGAGGATGCAGACTGATGCCCAACAGCATGGCTGCAGCAGATGCAACCAGAGTTGCTGCAGGGAGGTTCATCCGGCACTGTTTGCTATGGCATCGGGCCAAGGTCTGACTGAGCGAGCACAACTCTAAGGAAGGTGGGGTACTGTGTTTCAGAACAATATAACAAAGTGAGCTCCAACCCCGGCTATGCCTCAGAATCTTAACTGGGGAGTTTGTGGGGAGCCACATCCTAGGTCAATTAAATCAGAATCTCTGGGGATGGGTTCCAGGAGTCCGTATTTTTTAAAAAACAGTTTCCCAAGTGATTCCAGTATGCAGCCACGGTCAAGGGGCCTTTGCGATGGATGCTCTCCCGTCGTTCTCCCACAGGGACCTCCCCATTCTACTCCCCCACTGTGAGGCCGAGGGCAGTATACAAGACTCACTGCAGCTCAGAGCTTTCATGTCACTCCTGCCTTTGTAAACAGTGGTTTTGACTGTAGCCATCTTCCTGGAAGGACCCCCTCCCAACTATCTGTGCCTTGGCTATGACAGCTTCTGCTGTCAATCTTCATTGACATCATTTAATTCAAACATGACACCAACTGTAAGCTTTGGGTAGGCATTTGTCTCTTTAGTCATAGTCACATATTGACACAAATGATTTTTCTTTTTTTCTTTTTCCAAATAATGTAGGACAAGTCATGCATTTTGACAGGTGCTATAGAATGGCTCACTCAGTACCCACTCCATCCCTTCACCTCTCCCTCAATTTCCCCTGCCCTCTGCTAGAAGGGCTGGAAAATTAACATATCTACTCAGCTTCCCATATAACCAGGGTTCATGGTTCTGATCACAGATACAAGGAAGATCCTTTGGAAAGACTCCTATTCCTAAGTAAAAAGACAAAGCTTCATGAAGAGAGGGTTTGCTTGACTCACTTCTTCCTGCCTAGAAGCAGCCAACTTTAAATCATATAGATGAAAGGAGCACACGAAGGCTAGGAAGAGAGAACACGAGTGATGACAGGGAGCAATGGCACCAGCCCTAAACTGCCTATCCTGGGAATTTTTAATACATAAAGAACATAAACCCCTGTTTGGTATTAAGCCACTGTAGTCAAGTTTCTGCTGCATACAATCACATGCAAACCCAGGCAACACAGGTATGGTACCACTGAAGAAGGTGAACTAGAAGAGTGTTTGTCAAACAGCAAGTTAGAGTTCAAAACTGGATCAACCTAAGATAGATATGGAGATGTAGACATGGAGGTAGATGGTAGACAGATAGATGGATGGGTAGATAGATACATACAGATAGATTTATTTCAGTAGAAATGAAGAGTGTCACTAATCTACCCAATCTCTCCTCATCCACTACGAGTTAAGATGGTTGTGTCTTTCTCTGCTGTAAAAATTAAGAAAAAATAGGGAGGCTTTTCTTGTCTAAGGATCATAGAGAAGATGAGGAAGGGGAAGGACCCCAAGCGTTAGAGGAGGTTGATGTGCCCCACTCCCGCAGGGAGACCAAGTAGTGGACAGATGGTAAGGACCATGACCTACGGTGCCCCATGGCTGGACTGAGGTGCCCCTGGGGCAGCCAGGGTGCCCCATGGCTGGACTGAGGTGGGTGAGGGAAAGCTGTGAGGGCAGCTCTGTGGGCTGCCTTGACCAGTACTGCCTGACAATGGTGAATAGCACCCCATTTAGCAGAAGGCTCACTGGAAAGATTAAGGCCACCGTGAGCCAGGACCATGGTGTTTCAAGGTTTCCTGGCACCACTTAAATTCTTAGATGCTTGTTAATTCATTAGAGGTGGAGGGAGTCCTCCAAAATAATGGATGCCGGACTCATTTTGATAAGAGAGGAAGAATTAATTTGACTGGAAGAACAAAGAGTTGTGAGAGCTGATGGTTCTTGGATCTTCACATTGGAGAATTCATTCTTATTGCCCAGCCCATTATTTAAAGAGGTATTCATTCTGCAGTATAATCTTTGGGAGCAGTCCAGTCATTGAGGATTATATTTATCAGAAGATAATTAAACCTCGGAGAAAAAGTTCATATTTATTTTCGACCAAACTAGAGAAAAGGAGTGAGGAAGCCAGTTGCCCCTTCTGGTAAGGCTTTAGTATCACGCAACTGGGGAGTAGAAGGGACTCTAAAGACCATCTGGTCCCACTACTCACGTGATGCGAAAATCTCCTCCCCAGCATCCCGGCATTGCACCTGCAACTCTGACCTGAGCATGCCTTCAGCACACAAGACACTGTGGGCACAGTGGCACAAACAATAAGGGCACAGACTTTGCCCTCCAGACACTCAAAATGAAAAAGTGAGAAATGAGTGCATAAAGATTTGTAACAACACTTGGTTTTGGTGGGAAGTGGGGTTGAGATGGGGCAAAGTCTGGACAAGGGTGTGCAGTGAGGGTCTGTTGGGGGTGGGAGTCAACGAGAAACTGTTCAAAGGAAACTCAGGGAAAATCTTAGTACAGTGGGGACAGACTCCACCAGTTGTACAACTTTGCTGTGAACTCAAATGGAGGGAAGGTAATAGGGAGGTCTAACTCAGGTAAGAACAGGGAAAGGAAAAAGAGGTGTATATATTACATATATATGAATGTATGAAATACTCTGAGGAATGCTCTATTCACAATTAAAATCCTACTTCCTACTCTGCTCTGTGATATTCATTTTCCCCAGGAAGATTACTGCATTTCATCTGGAGTTTTGAAGTCATTAAGAATGCACTCAAGTTCTTCCACCACCTTTGTCCAGCAATAAACATTACTGAGCCCAGCAGCAGTCAGCTCTTCTAGCAGTATGTGAGGGACTATTGGGGGAATTTGAAAATTTTATGGTCTGAAAAGTGGGCCTTAGCACTTTAGCTTTTATTCTCTCAGAGAGCTTATAAATCCCTCTTCATTTTGCAGTTTTCATGAAAGTGACAGCTTTTGTTAGTCAGGCTAAAGAGAGATTAGAAATAAAAATTTTAACCATTAATCCCCTCTGATTAAAGTGAGACCAGAAATCAAATTGTTACCAACTGTGTGCTAATTTCAGCTTAATTCTTTGGCAAGAGGCGTTGGAAATTTTCAACTCACTACACTAATTCACAATGCCTTACTACTGATGGCAGAAAGTCAAGGTCTCCTTTCCTCCTGGGTCCAGGGTGTGAACAATGACTATTTCAAAATCAGTCCAATAAAATATAAACATTAAATTCTTAGCTATGTTGTTTCTCAGCCATCACTTTCCACACCACTCTCTCCTCCTACTCACCACCAGCCTTCCCCCACTCCACCAACAGCCATGAAAAAATATCTCCCCAGAGACTAGAGAATCACAGCTGAATGGCTGGCCTTTCCGCATCAAACAGAGTGTCTGCAGCATCAAAGCAGGTGTCACCCCCACACAAGCCGTTTCTATTACATACAGTGCTGGGAGGGAAGGAAAATCTTCATGCCAATAAGCCACATCAATTCATCAATCAAAATGAATTCATGCACTAATTAAACTAGCAAAAATTTAAAAAGGCATTTGTGTTACAGACGGGAGAGTAGAGTGGGGAGGGAGATGGGAGTTAAAATTCCAGGGAAGTGAAAACTTGACAGACACAGCACCAAATCGAAAAGGCAGTAAATACATGACTGGAATTAATAGCAAACCTCTCCTTAACTTAAAAATAATAAAGAAAGAAAGAAAGAAAGGAAGGAAGGAAGGAAGGAAGGAAGGAAGGAAGGAAGGAAGGAAGGAAGGAGGGAAGAAAGAAAGAAAGAAAGAAAGAAAGAAAGAAAGAAAGAAAGAAAGAAAGAAAGAAAGGAAGGAAGGAAGGAAGAAAGAAAGAAAGAAAGAAAGAAAGAGAAAGAAAGAAAGAAAGAAAGAAAGAAAGAAAGAAAGAAAGAAAGAAAGAAGAAAGAAAGAAATGGCACTCACACATGCCAAAAAAAGGTGGGGGGAGGGGCAAATATTTTCCTGGCTGGGCCAAAATTGACAGTAACAGGAGTGCCCTCTGTACTGTGCACATTCATTGGGGAAGCCGGTGAGTAAAGTAAAACTCTATCCCTTTCTTCATATCCACTTGTCCCTTAACACTTAACATTTCTCCTACTCCCTTTGATGACTTTCCAAGGCTACTAAGTACTGTTGCATGGTTAGCACACTGCACAAAAGCTTGGAGCTGAGGGAAGAATGGAGGCTGAAACCTCATCCGTGCTCTGACAACAAAGTCACATGTTCTGGCATGGGGTTGCTATCATTAGGAAGTAGTGCCTTTTTCTTCATAAAAGGTGCCCTCTGCTTGTGCACCCAGAAGGCTGTGACCCCACAGAGGCCAGTGGAGGTCCTGGTCCTTGCTTTTATTTACCTCCCTTGTCTCCTGTTTCTCTGTTTCCTCCCTCTGAACTTTGAACTGAATACTTCTTCAGCTGTTTCAGTATATCATAAATACCTGAACAAAGAGGAAAAAACTCAATTATCCATCCAAGTGTTTCATCTATATGACACCAAGTACCGACAGATAGGGAAATACCTTAATGCTTAGTATTGTGTAGACAAAACATCTGGTTGATCAACTTAGTTCATGTTTCTTTCAGATGCTTCACTACCATAGAAATGCTTTCATACCCACTATCAGGCTGGATTCTCCTGTGTAGAGTGCAAACTAAGTAGTCGTTTTTCTAGGCTCAAAGAGACTAATTCAGTATAGTAGGGGCCTGAGAGATAATAAAGGGACAAGGGGGCTCTTTTCCTCTTAACACTAAATAAAGAGCATGTAGCCCATATGCTAAATATTATGGGGAGAGAACTTTTCATCTTTACTCCAATTGTTCTGATGCTTCATTTGACAAGGTTCTTTCCCTGTCTCTTGTCTGTGTTGTATTTAGAGGAGAAACACTTCAATATTTCCCTCAATAACCCAATTTTATACAGCCTTTCAGGTTCACCTGTTTCTTTGAAAGCTTGCTCTTCAAAAACAGGAGTCCAGTGGAATGAACTTCCTCAAGTTAGTATTAGGGCAAACAAGTGGCCCAATCTCAGCTATCTTTGTTTGAAATGATGGAGGAAAAGGATTATATTAAGCATGTCATCTGAATCTAGCCTTGTGGCCAGGGCACTCTGTAACATCCCCATGGCAAACGTCATTCCCCCCATTTCCCACAAAGAGAAGCAGTTGACTGCAATGCTAGGTCCATGGTCAGACAGTGAGTGAACAGCATAACGTGAACTTTCCAGATCTTCCCAGAATTGGCCCCCCGACTTGGTGCACAAGGGGTGAAAACTAAAACTCCTTTTCTTCTCCCCAAGGCAGACCGTGAAACTGTAAAGATGAGCGGGCATTTTGTTTTATTTTGTGTAATAAACTGTTCTTTTCACAGCAGCTGGCCCTGGGGGAGTTTCAAATAGCACTGCTTGGCTACAGCTGTGGGTGTGGCCCGACTCAATCCCAAGGCAACTTGGAGACCACAGCTGTGTCGGGCAGGACGGATCTTAAACCTTCCATCTGGGCTGCACACTTTCAAGTTCACCCCCAAACAAGTTGAGTCGTTTTCACAAGCCAGAACCCCTCAGATGGTGGTTCTGCTCTTCCTCTGCCGGTGGTTACTTGGGGGCACATCCGCTATCCCGAGACTGACCTCCCCCCGCCCCCCATGTGGCTCAGGACAATGTCTGAACCGTCCCTTTGCTAGCCACGGGAAGACCCCGCACTGGGGTTGATAACAGCGGTCAGCATTTTCATGGAGGCTACTGGGCGGTAGGGTTTTGTGTGTGTTTTGTGTTTTGATTGTTTTCATTGTGGTTTCTTGGGCTCTCAGTCCGCTCTGACAAGCGGAATACGTCCCCCCATCCCGTAGATCCGTACACACTTCCAGAAAAATTTTCAAGGGTTTTCTTTGAGCCCCCCGAGCCCCCGCTTCCAGCTGGAGCAAATAAATGGCGACGTAAGCCTCCATCAGCGGCGCCCAAACCCGAGGACGGAAGTGCGCCCCCTGAACCGCTCCTCACCCTCCGAGTGAGGGGAATCACTTACTCCTTTGTCTCACTGAGGAAAATATGTGGGCTTGTGAACGGCTTCTTTTCTGACTGGATGACAAGGACGTCAAAATGGGCACCGTCCGGGAGGGCCAGAGAGAGAGAGCGCAGCGCCAGACACACGTCTGGGCGGCGGGGTGGCGAGGGCGTTCTCGCGCGGCCGAGGCAGCCCTGAAGGCCGCGCCGCGGCCACCGCGGGAGGAGCCGCCGCTAGGGGGAGCGCCGCGAGCCCGCCGGCCTTTGTTCGCGCGGCGGCTGCCGGAGAGGGCGGGGTGGCGCTCTCGGGCCCTCTACGGTGGGAATAACCCGCGGGAGTCGGCGGGGACTCTCACTGTGTGGGGCCGTGCGCCTCCGTCTCGCCCCGTCCCACACATCCGGCCGTCGGCGCGGTCCAGTTCCCCCCCCCCCAGGCCTGCGGCGCCGCGATGTCCCCCTGCGCGCCCAGGGGCTGGGGACCGGGACGCCCTGGGGGTGCAGGCGGAGCGGGCGGGAGCCGCCAAACAAAGCCTGGGGAGAGCGCGAGCGTGACGGGGAGGTCGCGGGGGTGGGGCTGTGCGCGCGCGCGCGTGCGCGCTTGTAAAAGAGAGGGAGGGGGGCAGAATAGAACCAGAGAGCCAGACGGGAGAGAAGAGGACAGCTCCACCCAAGTCAAAGCTGAACGCCGTCCCCTGGGAGAGGCACTGTCCTTCACAGGGGCCCTGCCTTTGGGTGCTTGCGAACTGGTAGAGAAGAGTGAGCTGCTCATTTCAGTACAAGACAGATGGGTCTGTAGGTATAGCTAACAGGACAAATATGCACGGGTCTGCTCAGGGATCCTCCTTCCTAGAAAAAGGAGTCAGAACTTCCCTCAGAGAGTTGCCATAGCTTTTCTGTGGAGTGTCAGGCTGTCATCCCCAGAAGAGATTCCATGATGGAAGGCTCTGGAAAAGTGGTAAGAACATAAAGGTTTTTTTCGCAGCTAGCAACACTGAACAAGTTCTTGGGACCGTGGCCACTTTCTTCTCTTGTCATGCTTTCTTCCTCTCCATTTCAACCAGACTGCCCGGTATCCCTCTAGAATTGTAAAGCCTCCCTCTTTCTGCAGCCAGGGCCAATTCTGGACAGAGTGACCCATCTGCTGATGACACCAAGAGGGAAAGACTGAATGTGATCCTGGGAATGAAGGTCATTAAGAACATTTTCAGATCGACTTCCCTTAGCCTGGAAGTGGGGGAGAAGCGATAGAAGTGTGGTCACTCAGGTTTAAACACTAGCTTCGAATTTTAAACTCCACTCGGGGTACAACAGGAAATGGAGCAGGTGCTTGGTTAGCTCATTTCATTTACGTTGAGCCCCTTAACTCCTAAAATAAACCATTTCTTTCAGATGAGCACGGGCGAGTCACTTGATCTTCTTTTCCTCATTCGTGAAATTGAAGGATTGGATCAAGGTCTCTTCAGCTCCAAAATTAGAAGAGTTATCTCTGCTCAGGAATTTGCAGAGGAACATTCCTTATTTAAATGTCTGATGCAATCATGGAATGAAGAACCTGGAGTACAAATATTTAAAAGAAGAAAATGCAGTGGCATAGCATTTTCTCCAGCTGAATCTCCCTTTCCAAATTTTTTATGTCTAATGTTGATAATTCATTGTTACATGAGGTCACATCTAAAATGGTTAATGCTCCTTAAGTGAGAAGGCAATGTTACCTCTGAGACCCAGTGCGGAAATCAACCAGGGAGACCTATGGGTGAGATGATTTGCTGTTCAAGAGGAAACCATTTTCCTGCACTCAGGAAAGACCCGTAGACTTTATTTTTTTAAAAAAGATTTATTTATTTTAGAGAGAGAGAGAGCGTGAGTGGAGGGAGGAGCAGAGGGAGAGAGAGAATCCTCATGCAGACTCCCCTCTGAGTGTGGAGCCTGAGTAGGGGGCGGTGCTCAATCCCAGGACCCTGAGATCATAACCTGAGCCAAAATCCAGAGCTGGCCACTTAACCAACTGAGCTACCTAGGTGCCCCAGCCTCCTAGACTTTAGAATCCTTGGGTTCTTAGTACCAAACCCAGCAGGATGTAGCTGATTTTTCAAAGCACCCGATTCTTTTGTTCGTATTTTGTCCTCTTATCACTGTTGTATAAGTTTTGGGGTTTGAGGACAACAGAGAGACACAAACCCAACTTTGTGCCGAGAACATTTCTCAGTGTGCATGTCAAATATTAACAGTTGTGAGAATGTCCCTGATTAAGGCTGTTTCACCTAACATTCGGCTAAGTTGAGGAAGTTCCAACGGTGAAATTTAAAGTCTGTGGCTAGGGCCACCTGGGTGGTTCAGTCGGTTAAGTGGCTGACTTCGGCTCAGGTCATGATCCCAGGATCCTGGGATCGAGCCCCACGTTGGGCTCCCTGCTCAGCGCGAAGCCTGCTTCTCCCTCTCCCACTCCCCCTGCTTGTGTTCCATCTCTCTCTCTCTCTCTCTCTCTGTCAGATAAATAAATAAAATCTTTAAAATAAATAAAGTCTGTGGCTAATGAGGAACACAAGTTTTTTTTAACCTCATGTTTAGAGGGCAGTTCTTTAGCCTCTCTATTGGAACTATGACAATGTGGGTCTGATAAAATTTGACTTGGTCTCAAACTATCAAATAGCATTATAAAAATGTTGGGACTAGATTTAGTTCTCCTAAAGGGTGGCAGATTGATAGAGCATGGATAAAGCAAGTCAGCTTCCAGGAATGATTGCTTCGTGAGAAACGGGGCCCTTCTTTCTCCAGAGTGACATGAACATTCCCAGACAGCCTCTTAACTTGCAGAGTTCTCAAAGCGTGACTCCCAGCTTCCTTCCCTGCTGAGGCCTCTGGCAAGAGTGGAAATTCCTCCAGGAGTTCTGTAATGGAATGGTACCTTGCTGAAACTAGGGGTCACCGGGTCATTGCATTCTAATCAGCCAGAAGCCAGCAAGGCTATCACCATAGCTAAACCCTCCAGAACAAGCCTGTGAAATATGTTCTCTGAGCCCTCTGATCTCCTTGGTCGGCCACCTCCCTAAGTGGTTTCCCTCCCCCTCCCGCCATGTTCTCCCACTGACCACAGCCCCACCCTGCTGGCAGGGCTCCTGGTCCCACTCTTTGTCTCTTCCCCTTTCCTTCTTCATCCCCTTACCTCACTGCTCTTCTAGGTACACTTCACCTCATCTGTGTGACTGGTGCACCTAAGGCTCGTGGCTCTGTAAAGCAGGAATGGATCTGTCATCATTCCATAAGAGCAGCTAATAAAACTGGACAAAGTATTTTGACTGTAAGGGTTGACTGACTCCAAATCATTTAGGTATCGCTTCTTCAAAATACCATAAGTTGCTTTTAACTCAAGACCTTTTATGGTTAAGAAAATGAATAAAGGTTTAGTGGAGACAAATAACCCTGCACTCTGGCAGAAATAATCTGTAGCTCTCTAAATCATCTACGTGGATATGCATGTGTTCATAAATGCATATAAAGCTCCAAATAATACCAGCTAGTTTTCCCCCATGGTTGGTCTCTTAACTACGTCCGTATCTGTTTTGAACCTTAGCACAGACTGGTCAAAGGAAATGTGTCTGCCCCGTTCACCTTCTTCCTCATTAGGGGACAGTTCCCTTCGGCGTTTTATTGCTGATCCGCTAATTACGAGAAGTTCTGTCTGTGCCCACATGTTCAGAGCTCATACTTTACAGAGTGGTCACTCTCTCTTCTCTCCCTGCCACCACCCCCGCCCTTCCCCTCCTGTCTCCCTTCTGTAGTGACGGGATGGATTTTGCCAATTATTTTGGCTTTTTACTAGATAGAATGATTTATGGACTAAGCACCTTGCCCACCCCTCAGAAGTCACTCCCCCATGGTCAGTTCCCGGTTTGACTATTAAATGTTCCTTCTCTCCCTTGCTCCCGTGGTTGCTGCTGTGGTTTCAGCTGTCCAACAGACATCTCACTGGGAAATTGTTGGTTCCTCACGCCACGCTGGTTTCTGAAAAGCTCCTTGAGTATCTTTCCAGAACCGGCCCAAAGTCAGGAGCCCGAATCATCAGCCAGACCGTGTGACCGCCCCTTCAAGATGGCCCCAATCACTTTTCTTTCCACAAGGAAGCAAAACCATCAGCCCCACCATCTGACTGGCCAATAAGTATCCCACATTTGTATAAAAATGAAATCGGCCCACATATATCGACTGCAAGCATTCTTAGCAAAGCACTCTGCTAGGCACTAAGTAACCAGGTACAGGATCAGGTGAGGTTTGCTAAGAACACTGCAGAATTTCTGAAAATAGCTACAGGAAGGGAAGAGAGCTCCCCGAGGCCAGGCTGCGGCGAATCCTCGAAAGCAGCGTGTGACCCCAGAGGGCCAGACGGCCAACCGGCTTCAGCGGAGTGGCGTATTTTTACAGAGTTCATTTAAACCATTACGTCGTGTACGTTCTCTCTCTCTTTTTTTAAATGATACATCACTGCTGACAGTTGGCATGTACTGTTTTCATAGCTTAGCCTTTATAAATATTACGAGCACATATCACAGCAGTATTGTTATAACGAGTTACAATGATGTGTTCTTTGAGAGAGTGCCAATGACTGGTTTATATCCTTGGTGATGTTGCTGCATCATAATAAATGTGGTATAAATCTTTTCCAAAGTTCAGCAGTTCCTTTAAGCCAAGAACACTACATGTGGGTTGTTGGGTTCCCTGTGTCGCCCCCAACCTTTGAAACCCCTGCTTCCTCAATGCTTTGATATATAGTCCCCAGTTTTGAGGATGTTAATATGGTCAGTGATCTAACCACACTCCTTTAATAGAGGGCAGCCTTTATTATAATCTGGAAATAATTTTCATCTCAACATCACCAACAGCCAAACATAATAAAATATGTATAAGTCAAGTAACATTACACAAGGGCCGCCTCGGCTCCAGCACACAGCCGCCACACAGCCGTGGGTCTCAGGGAGGCAGGGAGGGAGGGGACATCTCCGTTTGCTGTCACAGGGGCACTGTCATTGTTGGGGACACATGGGAGAAAGCAGTCACCCTCTACTAAGATGGCTCTGTTACTGCAGAGGAAGGGCAGCGGGTTTCCTCTGTGAATATCAGGAGCCGGAAGAAGGGGTGGAGGCAGTGAAAT